TATTATTGTTTCCTCTGTGATTGTGTGCAGGTCTGTGTGATTTTCTGAAGTTAGGAAACTGCATTCCGACGTCGCCTCGCTGCCATTTTCAGCGGTTTTCCAGCTGAACTGAGTCAAAAGTAAATGAAGTGGACCAGAAGAAAACTTCTGCTTCTGCATCAAACCCTCCATTTGGAGGAAGAAAAGGAACTTTCTGCCTTATGAACCTCAAAATTAATCAATATCTCCCCAGGAGCTCTTGTCACTTGTTGCACATTGTCGCTGTTTCAAACCTTTCAAAACCCAGTATGTCAACTGTTTGAAATTCTGTCTTTGTGTTTCAGTCCCTCAGCTGCTCAACAAGGAAACATTCTGCCAAATCAAATGAAAAGTATGTCTAAGTAAAACGATCTATAATATAGTTTTAACAGGGATCATTAGAGCAATATTATTTCTTAAGCCCACAAATTAATAATCCAATCACTGTAATTACTCAATGAGAGTAGCTCAACTTGCAGTACGTCATGGCGACGACCATAACAGCAAACTGGAGTCAGTGCGTTTCTTCACAAACCAATGGGTGACGTCATAATAGGTTCACACTTGGTGGGAGCAAAGCAGTGAATCAGAGATAAAATAAAACATTATTTTGGGATTGTTTCACAGCGGTTACTAAATAGCTGCACCACCGCACAACCCTGCGGGGCGTCAAACAGACACTGACACACAGGGATTATACTTCAGTCTATACATTGTTTTTTTAGAATATTCCTGCATAGTAAAATATAACAATTTAACAATTTTACCAAAATCCATCTGGTTGTATGTCGCTTCGATTTCCCCTGGGACGAAAAAAGACGAAACATTAAAATTAGCTAATTAGCTCTCCACTAACCAGCTTTAAACAAACTAACTCGTCTGAACTGCTCCTCTGAACGACAGTGTATGAAAAGTTGAATCTTTCACAGAAAAGACACACGACCCCCCCGAGGCACCGTGAGTCATCGATCGATGTGAAGAGACACATCAAAATGAGACGGGCGAATATAAAGAGCTGTCAGCCGAGGAGAACATCACATTCAGGCCGAGTGTGGATCCATATAGGGATTATGTGTGCCTGCTGGGATATTTGTGTTTGACATTGATTGCGTTCACGTTTGATGGAAGTCTTGAAGCGCAGAGACAGACTCAATTTATAAAACACGAGCTGAAAATCTAAAGAGCCGAACTGAAGCTGTGAGGGAGCCACTGCTGCGGATCAATCTGATTCAAAATGACAAAATCTAAGACCTTTAAGTTACAATCCTAAAGATTTTCTTCATACTAAACCCTCCGTTTGAGGGGCAGCATGGCCATCGGTCCTCCAGAGAGAGTGCCAAAGTGTCCTTGAGCAAGACGATGAACTCCCTAACCACTCCTGATGAACGGCTGGCACCTTCCTGTCAGTGTATGAATGTGTGTGTGCTTTGAGTAGTCAGTAGACCAGAACCATTTATCAATTAATCCTTAAGCTAATCTAAGCTCCGCCCCTTTTCTGGAACGTTAGCTAGCATTTTGTTACAGAGAAAAACAATAGCTAACTAACGAGCTAATCTACATTAATTGTTAGCCAGGCACTTACATCTGATAACTGGTTACTTTCAGTGTTGTTTTCATTTCTCTTTAATTATTTTTTGTTGAATTATTCAGATATACAAGACCGTATACATACTGTAACACCTTTTAAAGGAAACTGTCAACCAGTAATTACATGTTTTTAATGTTAAGGCTTGTGAGAAATAACCAAACAAAGAATAAGATATCTATATCTATCTATAGTTACAAACAGTGCAAAAAATATGGTCAATAATATGTGCCAAAACTGATATAAATCTAATTGAACCTAATGTATTTATTTAGTTTTCTCTGTCACACCGAATCCTGACCCCAAACCTGAGGTACAAACTGAACCACTGCACCCCTAACTGTGTATATAAATATGGTACATTTGGGAAAAGCTTCTTCAGTAATTTAATGGTTTAAAGTTAATGGGCTAAAACCTGCAGTTTTTCAGCTTTAGGTGCTTCTTTAAACTCCCCAATGCTTTTAGTCCGACTCAAAATTCAAGACACGAGAGTCGAGACTGAAGATGAAATCCCCCCGTGTTTCTGCGCTCGGGTCCATCAATATGCCGAGACAAGATGAGATTTTAGCAGCACACACACACACAGATACGCACAAACACACACACACACACACACACACTGCAGCAAGTGGCTTGTGAAATCAAATGTGTTCCCTCGCGCCACCTTCCAATCAATAACTCCAAAGTGTCAGGTAGCTCGCGCCCACTCCACAACACTTCATGACCATCGATCTGCGGCCGAACCCGCCGGTTATTCTGCCATTCCTCCGCTCCCCCTGCCCAAATCGAAGAGATATTATTTTCATATTTGTCTCTCAGGGGGAGGAGTTGTTTTAATCCTGGGAGAGCAGCACAGCGTCTGCAGCCTCCTCGTCTGTAAATATCATTATTTATAAACTCCTGCAGGTCGACAGCCAACACAGAGTTGTTTTTCTGTCCACCGCTGCAGGAGAGACGAAGTAAACACATCGCAGAGTCCTCGTAATGGCTGCACGAGTAAATTTATGTTCTTATATCAGTCAAGGTTTCAGCCAGCGTGACTAAGAGGATCAGAGTTCCTGTGACCTGAAAGTATTTAAGATTGGATCTTATTCAGAACTTTTACATTTACTCTATTCAGCCGAACTGTCTGGATGCTTTAACGCTGAGATCTGACGACACTGACGAACATGAGAGTCGGGTGCACCAGTTTCTGCTTTTGTGGAAGACGAGCAACGCAGCATCCAGGACTACAACCCCACAGACAGATCGGCCCATATTAACTCACTGCACATGATAAAGGACAGGAAAATAAAGACGTGTTGAAACTGTCACCTCCAAAGTTTGTTATAGTTAGAGTTGTTTATCTTTTAACATTAAAGCCCACATGAAACAGAAACCAGAGAACGGTTTGCTTCCTCATATTTACGTATTTCCTGTAAAAACAGGGATGCCAGGAGCCAAACAGGAGCCAAACCCGGCAAGAACACCACCTCAGTACTGTCAGACTAGCACCGTCTGTGTCGGGTCCTGCTGGGTCCAGGTGAATGATCAACACACTCAGTGCTATTGGCTGCTGTGAATGCCAATCAATATCTGTGACAAGTCCCTCCCTAGCTGCCTGTTTTTATAAGAAGCATGTAAATATGAGGAAGCAAACAGCTCTCTGCTTCCTGTTTCATGGGGATGTTTCAGGCTTCTACGTTAGCTCAGCTTTGCTGCTCTGTGACTGAAATGAGCATCAGGCAGCAGCTTTTAGCTCTTTTCATCAAGTGACCCTGAGGATGTTTACAACGCAGCAGGATGAACTCTGGTCCTTGAATGTGTGTTCATTTGCCGTCATTCTGCTCCTTCCTGTGTCTGTTGTAGGAACTCTCGAAGCCGGTGCCGCTCAGCTGCTGCTGCCTGGTCTGGAACGAGGCACATCACCTGAGTCGACACTGCGGGGATGTAGGCTGTGTGATCAACAGCACAGATCGGTGATCAAGAGCCAGCCGAGCACTGATGCTCGGCACACAGGCCGTCTGGCAGAGTCAAGGCTCTGAAACGATCCCTCAGCTGAGCGTCTCCTGGGAAAACTGTTTCCCCAGACGATCATCAAAGCTTCATCTTATCGGATCTCAAACCTCCAGCATGTAAACACCACACACTTCCTGTTTGCTTTTAAATATCAATCCAACTATTTATAGAGCGGTGAACAAGAACATGACTCACTTCCTTTATGAGAGTTGATGAGTGACTCAACAATCTGTTTGTTGACCGTGACGAACTGTTTACTGTGTTAATACGCAGCGTTCTTTGCTGTGGATCTCTGACCTCAACACTGCAGCCAGTAGAGCTGACCCCTGCCAGCCAAATACAGGTTTAAGGCTCTTCCACATTGGCTTTACATTTCAGACCCAGAAGGTCGAAATTGTAGCACATTTTAAGATAAACACAACATCACGTTTACACACCGACTCCGAGTTTTAGGAACAGTTTCAGATTTCTGTGGTTTTTTTTGCACTAGTGAAAAGAAATTGAGACAGACAGCTCAGCCTCTTGTAATGTGACCCGAGCAGAGAGTGACAACAGCCTGCGGAGGTAATGAGTGAAAGCCAAGGCCAACATTTGGAAAAGGTTTTAAAGATGTCGTTAAGGCCTGAGATGCCCGATAACATTTCTGTAAAGTGACATGTAAACAAAGGAACATTCAGAGGGTGCTTTGGTAATGTTATAGATGGGATGTTCTTTTGTAACTAAATAAAAACTTCCCACTGAAAACATCAGCAGAACATTGCATGGTAACATTCTCAGAACATTTTTAGAGGCGAACACTGCAGGATAACGCGCCATGTCACAAAGCTCAGTGTGCAGACGCTTCCACAAGCGCAAGATCTGATTATGAAGAGCTGGAATGAGATGTGTGAGTGACAAATCGGCAGCCGCTGTGTGATGCTGTCAGGTCGACCTGACATGTCAACGTGTATCTAACAAAGCGGCTAATGAGTGTGTCAGAAAATGATGAAAAACTAACTTTGAAGCTAAATAAGATGTGGAAGGAGAGTAATCTTCTGCTCCTGGATCTTTACTGCACTCAGAGAACAAACCGAGCTTCATTATGAGTCTTTTTCAACAAAGTTTTATAACAAGACATTATAACATTTATACCGACAAAGTGCACGCAGTACATTCCCGCTGACATCCATTTTTACATTTGTTCCCATTATGTTTCCCCATCCGTCCTTTCACTTTGGCTGCGAGCGTGAAAGGCATCATGGATTTACATCTTTCAGATATACGAGCCTTCGCCCGCCCAGCAGATATACGAGCAGAGCCGTCAAAGCTTTATTAGCTGTCGGATTGATGACGGCTGAGAGAATAAAGGGAAAAAAATGAAAAGAGAGAGAGAGAGTGACGAAGAGGAAGTGACACGTACTTGAAACCTGGCGCCATGTTGGCACAACTCCCGGTCCGCAGCCAGATGCAGTATGGGTCACGAGAGGCCAGACAGGCTCTGGAGGGAGAGAAGAAGAGTGTGAATCAATATTGTTGTATACTTATATTATCCCAAATGTTTCCAACACCGTTCAAACTCATCGTCATTTTATTCAGGTAACGCTGCGTTTCACCAGTCGCCTGTCACGCTGTTGGACAGACAAAGGACGTCCCGGAGGGGCTGCGAGCCGAGCTGCTGCTAACGTTAGGCTCAGCTTGTTTCTCTGATAACTTAAGATCCAGACGTACCGATGACTAAAATCCTTCAACCGTTCAAATTTCTAGGAGTTAAAAAAGCACCAAGACTAAACCAGTGGATGGAAAAATTGGCTTCAGACTGGATAAACAGTAAATGTATGACAGCTTCTGGAGACAACCACACGCTGCGCAGGGCCAAAGTGGATATGACGCCATCG